GTTTTCAAAAGTAGCTCAATATAGAAGAAGGCCGAATCGATCAGGGGGTAGGTATCTGACTCCTTATTTGCCTACCCATATAAATCAGAGTTCAAAAAAGGGTTGATGAGGGCAAGTCACCTTTCTATCTTCAGTAACCTAGGCAAGTGCACGGGAAATGTATATTACATCGCACGTAGAAAGAAAATATAATGAAATTTAAAAGAAAAAAATAATATTCAATTAAGTTTGAAAATTAAAAAATTTCAGATCCATTTGACAAAATTTGATTATAATGTTCGCGCGACTAATGAGCGGCAGCACTGGAAAAAATCAAGATTTAGATACTAGTTATACAAAAGCCAACACATCTTGACTTTATATTTATTGTATTTTCTAGTTGTTTCAAATATCTGTTCCGTTCTTCGATCTGCAAACAACTGACACTCATAATTATTTATACCAGAGTTACAAATGACCATTCGTAGTTACTTTTTCAAAAATAACTCAACATTATAAAAAATGAATGTGCTAATAAAGTAACATACATTATAATCTATTATTTTCTAATGCTCCCTTCATATTACGAAGAGGCAAAATCCTATGTTTATATTCACAAGGGTGAACAACTCTGTAATAATTAAGAAATATAGATAAGCGCAAAAACGCATATTCCTATCCTTACAACTTATAGAATCTTATTGACTGAAGGGGAGGCACACACCCAACCTAGTTTTAGATCAATATATTTTTAAAGCAATTGACCGCTTTCAGTAATCTCCAAAAGCCAAATGGCAACAAATTATACGAATAGCTTTAAAAGAGTTTCTTTTACACCCAACATATTTAGATCCTCATTCTACTAGAATCAGTTATATTAAAAAAAGTATAAAGATGATATCATGTAGTGCTCACATCCTTTTGGTCAAAATCAGATAAAAAAGGAAAAAAAAAAAAAGAGAAGGTTAAACCTATCGTGTGGCAAGGGGTGTTCGTTCCGCGGCGGTACATGCAGCCTCCTGTCGCTCTTCCTCCTTCATACTTAACTAATTTTGGTCTTCAGACAACCACTTCTTTCTTGAAAACCCATTTTAACGCATATTATGGAACGCCCTCATTTATGTTATACTATCATTTTTATGGTTGCACGCTTGGCTTGCGTGGGGTGAAGGGGAGCAAAGTGCCATGAGGCGGGTAGAAACACACCATTTTGGCACGAAATTTGGATTTTGCGCAGGACCTCAGAAAGCCTGTTTGGTTTTCTGTCTATTAGTATGTATGGGCCTTAATTTTCTCCATTAATATTGCATTGTTATAGCTGAACACGTTACGGGGGCCAAGAACCATCCTGCTAGGAAACAGGTAGCGTTTGAAGAATAATATAATATGGAGTAACAGTGGTTTCCTGCAACCCGGAAGGAACTTCTATTATATGATTGGAAAGTTCATTAATTGAATTAAGAAAATGCACAGATTTGTATCTTGAGGAAAGAAAATGAAAAAAAATAGGAGAAGATAGAAGAGAAGCCAAATGTGGAAGGCTAAGAGAGATACTGCAGAAGGTGGCAACGAGGCCAGTACTTATTTACCGAGCACCACAAAACCAAGCTACCGGGTTAGAAGAAGAAAAATATTATGCGGAGGATGGAGTTCGATCTCCGTGTGATACTAGCAAGTCCTCGGGACTACTGAGGAGGCAGAATTAGCTGCGGTGGAACAAGTTCGTCTTTGCAGAAATATGGTACCACGAACCGGGCAATCTCCCGAGGGATCAAAGACCGCGCGCCCAGCCACCAGCTGACCGGCTCTGGACAATGACAGAGGAGTGTATTTGAGAAAGAAAGAAAAAAAGAAAGATAGAGAAGAATGTGGAGGCTAAAGATAGCAGAAGGTGGCAACGAGCCATACTTATACAGCACCAACAACTACGTAGGAAGGCAAATATGGGAGTTCGATCCTGATGCAGGGACTCCTGAGGAGCGTGCTGCGGTGGAACAAGTTCGCCAAAATTTCTACAACAACCGGCATCAGGTCAAGCCCAGCAGTGACCTTCTCTGGCGTATGCAGGTGGTTTTTTTTTTTTTTTAACATACATATAACATATGCATGTAATGTTTGCTTGTTCTTGTTTGGAGAAGAGAATTGGCTTATTTAAACCCGGTCTAACGACGAGTAGATCCACAAATTTAGTCCAATATTGATAACATCATTGTTCTGTGTTGGTGATGAGAATTTGAGCCCTGAGTAAATTAATTAAAGTATTAGTAAATTATTTAATAAATTTATTTTTAACACAAAATGGTCTAATTTATTTTAATTGATTATTTTCGTTATTACATGTCGTTTACTTAATTTATATTTATTGCCCACACTTCAACGGTTGATTTTAAAAAAGCTCTTTCCATAGAATCAAATATTATCACTTTTCTTTTTTTTATTTTTTTATATAAGCTACGAGTACCCCGACTAATTATTAGGAATTTACTAAATCTGATTAAGGATTTAGTAAATATCATCAATTTTCGGCGCCTATTCTTAGGCGTTAAAATTACATAAGTAGCCTTTTAATTACATAAATGTCCAATATTGGTTTTTTTTTTTTGGAAATGAAATAAATAAGAAATCTATTATACGATTTTCTAATTTCAGTTCTTATTTTGTCGTTACGCTCTGGCGATAAACATAGACAGAAATTAACTTGTGTGCTTCATGGGTCCACTCGTTTTTTATTCTACTACAGAAAATTTTTTTTTTTTATTTCAGAAATTTTTTTTATCTTCCGGTAAAATTATAGTTGAGAAATGAGATTTTTTTATCCATATATAAATGTTTATTCACCATTAGATTAACATAATTAAATATAAACAGTAGATTTAAAAAATGAAAATGACCTTTTAACTTTAAAACATGTTGAATTCAGTTTTTTAGAAATAAAAATTAACTTACATTTATTTATTATTATTATTATTTTTGAATTCAAAAAGAGATTTACTCTATCAATTATTTTTAATAAAATTTTTAGACGACCTTTTAACAGACATGTTGAATTCAGTTTCTTCTGGAGGACAATAGGAAAAATACCACTTACATTTATTTATTATTCATCATGTCCATTGCTCTGGAACTTCAAAAAGAGGGATTTACTTGTCATAAAACTATTGCGGAACATGGACTTTTCTAACAGGAATAAGCCAAAATAAATTATAAAAGCAAATAAATTAAAAGCTTCGAAACAATAACCGGCATGGATCCCACACTGTCTTTCTGTATTGTTAACCACGGAGTCAGGGGTACCATCACTAAATTTTTAACCATATGGTAATTTTTCGTTACATCATCAATAAATTTTCATTTAAACCATTTAAAAAACTATAAAAACAATATCAAAAGACTCTTATAACACAGGGTTCTAACAAATTTAAGGGATATTAGGACATAACCACTGTTTAAAATAAATTTAATTAAAATTACAACCACGAATTTTAATTTTGCTTTTTCTTTTGAGCCTTAATTTAAATAAATGCCAAATTCACACCTTCCAGGGGAATTTATAGAAGCCAGTTGCACTAATTCGCTAGAAAATGCCCTAAATCTTAATACCTTTTATTTATTTAATCCTCACTATTATATAATACAAAGTCCCTGGTGTTTAGACTTTTTCTATTTTAGGTATTTACATCTGACCAATATTTTAAACAAACTCCCTATATTTTACAAAGTCCTAAACCATAATATTCTATGATATTTAAATCTAATTTTTTTAATTATCTATCATTAAAGTGAAATTGATTTTACATATTTTCATTAGAGATTATATAATTCTAAGGTTTTTGATGATTTAATTCTTAATATTCATACAAACGGCAATATATATATATATATATATATTTGAATGAACAATAAATAAATTTAAACTTATATGTGTGCTTTTAAGATAAAAAAGAAATTATTTAAAAAAATGTAAAAGAAAAAGTAAGATAATAAAAGATTTATTTAATAGGTAATTAGTATTATAATAAATTGAGATAATCACATATCACTCAAATAGAGTTCTATTTCAATACAAAATTAGTAATTCTATACTGTATCAAAAGCCAATATCTCCGATACTGTTTCTAATATGATCTGCAAATTGGGTACCAGTTTCTCAAGGAGAAGAACTTTAAGCAAACAATACCCGCAGTGAAAATAATCTGTCAAACACAATATCTCTCTATAAACAGTTTATATATGTATCATACAAAAATTGGTGTAATTACAGGTTTTTCATCATTCACGGTTAACAAGGAGAGAGCTTAGACCAAACAACTACTCCGAGTTAAGAAGTGGCCCCGAGTTCGAGAGAAACTTAAGGAAATAGCGAGGGCGAAGCAGGTACGTCAACATACGACAAGGCAACAGCAGCTTTTGAAGAAGGGGCAGTCCAGTTCTGTTTCGGCAAACACTACTAGACACTAGGCTGTTTTCCAGTTTCTCAAGGAGAAGAACTTTAAGCAAACAATACCCGCAGTGAAAATAGAAGAGGGCGAACAGATCACATACGACAAGGCAACAGCAGCTTTGAGAAGGGCAGTCCAGTTCTTTTCGGCACTGCAGGCCAGTGATGGTCATTGGCCTGCTGAAAATGCTGGGCCCTTGTTTTACCTCCCTCCACTGGTTATATGTGCATTTACATAACGGGACATTTGGACACCGTCTTCCCATCGGAGCATCGCAAGGAAATCCTTCGCTACATATACTACCATTAGAATCAAGATGGTGGGTGGGGCCTCCACATTGAAGGCCACAGCACCATGTTCTGCACTGTTCTCAGCTATATCTGTATGCGTATTCTTGGAGTTGGACCTGATGGCGGTCAGGATAATGCCTGTGCCAGAGCCAGAACCTGGATTCATGACCACGGCGGCGTCACTTACATACCCTCCTGGGGCAAGACTTGGCTCTCGGTACGTAATATATTTCTATCCATCCATCCATCATTCATCATCTCTTCTACGGTATATATGTATATATAATCACATGCTTGCTTTAATTCACAGATACTTGGTGTGTACGACTGGAATTCGACAAGTTTGGCTAGAGTCTAATTAAATCAATAATTTCCAGTGTGGCTAAAAGGCCTTAAAATTTAAACACAACTTACGTTTTTGGCAAATAAAATTGCCCTCTAACATTTGCAAATTCAACATTTTTGATAACTTTTGGCATATACACAATTTGCCTAATAAGTAAGATTAATCTCTTTTTTAGTCCTATCGACAAACTCGCTTTAATTCTTTCATAATCAAATTTTGGCCTAAAAGCCTTCAGATATCAACTTTTGGCAAATAAATTGCCCTTAAAATGCAATCAATGTATTTATGTGAGTGGGGCGAGACAATTCATAATACGCCCTATAACACTCATAGTGTTGCTTTAATATCACTAGATATCTCATTTTTTGGCAATAAATTGCCCTTAAATCATTATTTTGGGGGCTTTGGTAAATGGCTCACTTCCAAAAACATTAATCAATGGTCCTTGCGGCGGGATTGCAGCCACACAAATTCCGCTCTCCAAAAATACACAGGAAATTTTGTTTTACCATCAAAATCAATTTTTGGTGGTCAACCTTCATAATTTGACTAAATCAATATCTTTTCTTTCTGGCTAAAGCCTTTTACACATTTCACTAACCATTTTTTAGGGAACTCCATTATATGCCAAGGCCGAAAAATTGTGGGTTGTCATATCAAACTATCAATCAAACTGGGGCCTGGCAAAATGCCTAAACAAAATGCACGAAGCATACATAAATACACACAGGGATGGTTTACAAATGCCAAATGCCTTAAATTTGTAATGCCCAAGATAAGCAATGAAAGCATAGGTTTTGTACTCTGGGCATGTCAAAGTCCTTTTATTAAAAAGGCCTAAGCGAACTACGTTGACTTTGATCTTTTTCCATTCAACGGAAGTACGTAGGCACCGTCCAATTAGTTGGTTATTTAAACGCCCGGTACCTCCTCGCAACTTGCACCTTATTGGACATTATAGAGACGAGAATCTTCGATCAAATGCACACTATACAAACATTTTCACTTCATTCAATTGGTCCATTACTTCATCTTCCTTCGCAAAACGTTGACTACAACATTCATTTCATTTTGGTTAGTTTCTAAAGATCATTGGGAGCAGAGGAAAACACAGGGCAGGCATGAACATCGTCCTACCCCTTCTTGGTGCCGCGGGATACACATCTCGGGTGGAGGTTGATTGCATATTCAAATTGTTCCCTTAAACATTCTTTTGGCGAATATATAAAATCTATTTAAATCAATTAATCACATTTAGCCTAAAATAGCATTGGTAAGTTAAACTAAGTAACTTAGGTTTAATGGGGGACCAAAATTTTAGGGAGTCACTTAGAGGTTTTTTAGCTATCCCTAGTTATTAAAAATCCACATAAAATATTAATTAAAACACAGGTATGAGCGACATTTCCACAGGGATACAATATTCGGATGACAATTTCCCATTCTCATTTTCATCAGGGAAACTTGACAGTGGTACAATGGAGCCTATGTGTTCCTTGTTGAGCGTGGAGGGGTGTTCAACTCACCCCGATAAATTTCTCAGCCACGGACCAGTTGGTCTAAAAAACCAGGGCGAGCAGGGAATTCCCGATCCAAACTTTATTTGAAAAAAACAATTTATCATCAATTGAGCTCTTTAGGGGGCTGGTGGTGCTTGCCGCCAAAATTTTGAGCAGTGACATTCTTTAAACAATGATTTGGAGCGTGTATGCTTCATCTCTTTACGCTTGTTTCACTCTCGGAGCCTCTTACTAGGGACTCGCTTGGAGGGCCTTTAGCAGCTTTATCAAGAAACAAACTCTTCAAGGTCACATGAAACATATTCAGCTATGAAGATGAACAGGCCCAGCGCTATTGCTGCAAGACATAATGTGGGACACTCTTTACTTGTTCACGGAGCCTCTACTGACTCGTTGGCCCTTTAGCAGCTTTATCAGAAACAAAGCTCTTCAAGTCACCATGAAACATATTCACTATGAAGATGAAAACAGCCGCTACATAACCATTGGATGTGTGGAGAAGGTGCTATGCATGTTGGCTTGCTGGGTCGAAGACCCTGGCGGCCATTATTTCAAGAAACACCTTGCTAGGATTCCAGATTATCTTTCGGTTGCTGAGGATGGAATGAAAATGCAGGGTTTTGGAAGCCAGCAGTGGGATACTTGATTTGGAATTCAGGCACTGATTGCTACTAATTTCACACAAGAAATTGGAGACGTGTTAAAGAGAGGCCATAACTTCATAAAGGAATCTCAAGTGAAGGAGAATCCTTCAGGCGACTTCAAGAGCATGCACCAAGTGAAGGCGAACCCTTCAGGCGACTTCAAGAGCATGCACAGGCATATTTCAAAGGGATCATGGACTTTCTCTGACCAAGATCACGGATGGCAAGTTTCTGACTGCACTGCCGAAGGACTTAAGTGTTGCCTTCTTTTCTCAATGATGCCGCCAGAGATTGTTGGTGACAAAATGGAGCCTCAACAGTTGTACGACGCTGTCAATATCCTTCTTTCTCTGCAGGTTCCCGTCAATCTATTCCTATTTCTATGATATATATATATATATATATATATTATAACTATATATATGTGTATATATTCTATTTTGAACAAATTCATTAATTGCATTGATGCAGAGTAAAAAAATTCATTAATTCATTGATGCAGAGTAAAAATGGAGGCTTAGCAGCATGGGAGCCTGCTGGGGCTCAAGAATGGTTAGAAGTGAGTGACTTTTTTTTCCTTTTTTTTTAATGTTTTTTAGCGTTTTAATTCAATGACCAATGGGCGCAACTATATTAATCAATTCATGTAATTTTGTCCTGGATGACTGCAAATTTTCAGATATTAAATCCTACAGAATTTTTCGCTGACATTGTGATTGAGCATGAATATGTGGCGTGCACTTCATCCGCAATCCACGCCGAGGAGAAAGCTACCTTTCATGCCCTCAGAAAGTACGATACAATTATATGATTTTAATTAATTTGGTGTCAAAAGTCAAGAAAACAAGTGGCTAAACGTAAGTTGCTGTGCAGAAATATGTAGCTCTGGAAGGAAAGCGATCAAATTTGGTACATACAACTTGGGCAATGATGGGTCTGATGGGACTGCGCGAATCACCCAACCCCGAATTAGTATGATATTGTCCGTTTTGAGCAAGCCTTCATGGTTTTATTTTTGGGCACCTTCCAAAAGGTTTTATACTAATAAGTTGGGTTTGAACCATTATATTTTGGTTTCACTTTTCACATTTTTCCGATGCGGGACTTGAGAGGATATCCCAACAGGGTCTAATCAGCGCAGGACAGGTGAGTGGTCTGAAATGACTATATATGTATTACAGCCTGGTTTTATTGTATGTCGTGTAATTGTGATGGATATAATCATTATTGAAGCAGATGGATAGAGACCCTACACCTCTCATTAATGACGCAGATGGATAGAGACCCTACACCTCTTCACCGAGCTGCAACGCTGATAATTAATTCCCAATTGGAAGATGGAGATTTTCCTCAACAGGTATATATCTACAGGGAAGATCACTTTAAACAGTTATGTTTATTTGATTTCTATTTATGTTGTGTGATTTCTATTTCCTCAACAGGAAATCACAGGGGTGTTCATGAAGAACTGCATGTTACACTATGCAGCATACAGGAACATCTATCCATTATGGGCTCTGGCAGAATACAGAAACCGAGTTCCGTTGCCTTCAACACCCATCTAATTAGAATTAATTCCTTCACTCTCACATCATGTGATACTATGTAATGTGTACTGAAAAGTTTTTCGAACACAACATTTTATGTTCTGTAATGCAAGTAGATTTGCCTATTAATTTCTGTATTTCCAGATATATATATATATATACACACTCTAATTAATCCTGCTATTAAATGAAAAACTAAGTAATAGTATTACATTAAATGTGAAAGAGTTAAAAAATTTTGATTGGGCTCTACTAGAAATATCATGATGGTAGGATGATTCCATGTCCCCATTAAATCAGAGTCATCGCACGTAGAAGAAAATAAATGAATTTAAAAGAAGTTTGAAATTAAAAATTTCAGTCTTGGACAAAAATTGATATTGACATGCAGCTGCAAATAGATTTAGAAAGAAAGAAAGAAACTGACTTTATTTTTATTTTCTTTTTTCTGTCGTCGATCTTTCTGTCGTCCGATTCGAACCATAAGAATTTTACATTTATGCCAATTTTTGCTACCACCAATAATAAAACAAATAAAAATATCTTAGTAAAATAAAATATTCTTAGTAACTACATATATATATTTTCTTTTATTACGTGTTAAAGAGGAAAATGGTAAATTGATATATACAGATATCTACCAACTAATATATGGACGGACCCCTAGTTAGACAATAATTACAATGAGTTGAAATCCAATCAATTGATTAGAAGAAAGTATTTTACTTGCTATTGTTAATAGTAAAAATAAAAGTGAACAATAGGTCTTCTTTGGCCATAAAAAGGAGGGTGAGCTTGTTGATCTTGTCGGTACAGAGCTCTCTACTCTTCTATTACTTTCTTGAAAACCATTTTACCTATATATGTTGTTCATAGGTTGCTTCTGTGAAGGAAGTACCAGAGCGAAGAGATTGATTTGATCACTGTTCGAAAGGCTTAATTTCTCATAATATTGATTGTTATATAGGAAGAACCATCTGCTAGAAACAGGTACGTTGAAGATAATATAATATGAGTACAGTGTTCCTGCACAATTCATATAATTAATTAATAAGAATCACAGATTGTATTTGAGAAAGAAAGAAAAGAAAGATTAGAGAAGAATGTGGAGGCTAAAGATAGCAAGAAGGTGGCAACGAGCTCATTACTTATACAGCACTAACCAAACTACGTAGGAAGGCAAAAATATGGTGAGTTCGATTCCTGATGCAGCGACTCACAACTACGTAGGAAGGCAAATATGGGAGTTCGATCCTGATGCAGGGACTCCTGAGGAGCGTGCTGCGGTGGAACAAGTTCGTCAAAATTTCTACAACAACCGGCATCAGGTCAAGCCCAGCAGTGACCTTCTCTGGCGTATGCAGGTGGGTTTTTTTTCTTTTACTTGTTTATTTTTTTAACATACAGATAACATATGCATGTAATGTTTGCTTGTTCTTGTTTGGAGAAGAGAATTGGCTTATTTAAACCCGGTCTATCCATGAGTAGATGCACAAATTTAGTCCAATATTGACAACATCATTATTCCATATTGGTGTTGAGAATTTAGGACCTACCATCAAATTAATTAAAGTATTAGTAATTTATTTAATAAACTTATTTTTAACACAAAATAGTCTAATTTATTTTGATTGATTACCTTTTTAATTATATGTCGTTTATTTAATTTATATTTATTGAAACGCGTCATCAGTTATTTTAAAGAAGCTCTCTCCATAGAATCAAATATCACTGCTTTTCTTTTTTTTATATATATATATATGAGTTACGGGTACCCCCGACCTATTATGAGGAATTGACTAAATCAGGATAAGGATTTAGTAAATATCATCAATTTTCGGCGGCTATTTCTAGGCGGTAAAATTACAGAAGTAGCCTTTTAATTACATAAATGTCCAATATTGAGTTTTTTTTTTTCTTTGAAATGAAAATAGTTCTTATTTTGTCGGCTATTTCTTAGTTTGTCGTTACGCTCTGGCGATAAACATAGACAGAAATTGATAAAAATAGTTCTCTTTGGGATGGAGTTGAAATTTGAGTAGAAAGTTACAAAAAGAAAGAAAAACGAAAAAGATTTGGTTTGGGTTCGTTAGGTGGAGAAGCAAGTCGAATCCGCATTCCCTTCCGTTTTCCACTGCTCTCTCTGCTCCGTCATTTCCAACAAACTTGCGCGCTTCATGGGCCCACTCGTTTTTTTATTCTACTACAGAATTTTTTTTTTTTATTTCAGAAATTTAAGCTAATATCTTCTGGTAAAATTATAGTTGAGAATTGAGATTTTTTGTATCCACATATAAATGTTTAAATCTAATTTTTTTAATCATTTGTCTTTAAAGTGAAATTGATTTTACATATTTTCATTAGAGATTGTATAATTCTAAGGTTTTTGACTATTTAATTCTTAATATTCATACAAATAGCAATATATATATATTTGAATAAACAATAAATAAATTTAAACTTATATGTGTGCTTTTAAGATAAAAAAGAAATTATTTAAAAAAAATGTAAAAGAAAGAGTAAGATAATAAAAAATCTATTTAATAGATAATTAATATTATAATAAATTGAGATAATCACATATCACTCAAATAGAGTTCTGTTTCAATACAAAATTAGTAATTCTAAACTGTACTAAAAGCCAATATCTCCGATACTGTTTCTAATATGATCTGCAAATTGGGTCCAGTTTCTCAAGGAGAAGAACTTTAAGCAAACAATACCCGCAGTGAAAATAGAAGAGGGCGAACAGATCACATACGACAAGGCAACAGCAGCTTTGAGAAGGGCAGTCCAGTTCTTTTCGGCACTGCAGGCCAGTGATGGTCATTGGCCTGCTGAAAATGCTGGGCCCTTGTTCTTCCTCCCTCCACTGGTTATGTGCGTTTACATAACGGGACATTTGGACACCGTCTTCCCACCGGAGCATCGCAAGGAAATCCTTCGCTACATATACTACCATCAGAATCAAGATGGTGGGTGGGGCCTGCACATTGAAGGCCACAGCACCATGTTCTGCACTGTTCTCAGCTACATCTGTATGCGTATTCTTGGAGTTGGACCTGATGGCGGTCAGGATAATGCCTGTGCCAGAGCCAGAACCTGGATTCATGACCACGGCGGCGTCACTTACATACCCTCCTGGGGCAAGACTTGGCTCTCTGACCACGGCGGTCGTCACTTACATACCCTTCCTAGGGCAAAGACTTGCTCTCGCCGTACGTAATATGATTTTCTATCCATCCATCCATCATTCTATTCATCTCTTCTACCAGTATATATGTATATATTAATCACATGCTTGCTTTTAATTCACAGATACTTGGTGTTGTACGACTGGTCTGGAAGCAATCCAATGCCTCCAGAATTTTGGACTTCCTTCATTCCTTCCAATTGTCCAGCGAAAATTGTGGTGCTACTGCCGGATGTGTACATGCCAATGTCTTATTTGTATGGGAAGAGGTTTGTGGCCAATTACGCCTCTCATTCTTGAATTGAGACGAAGAACTCCAACACTTCAACCTTATCATTCAAATCCCAATTGGAAAGAAAAACACCGGCCACCCTTTTGCCAAGTGAGCTAATTAATTTCCTCTTTTCCATTAAATCATTTAATCAATTAAACATAGCGCATGAAATTGCAAATTACAAAAATAAATAAATAAATTGAAAATTGAAACTAACAGGAGGACCTGCTACTATCCGCATCCTTGCTGCAAGGACATAATGTGGGACACTCTTTACTTGTTCAACGAGCCTCTTCTGACTCGTCTTGGCCCTTTAGCAGCTTTATCAGAAACAAAGCTCTTCAAGTTCAACCATGAAACATATTCATCCTATGAAGGATGAAAACAAGCCGCTACATAACCACTTGGATGTGTGGAGAAGGTGCTATGCATGTTGGCTTGCTGGGTCGAAGACCCTGACGGCGATTATTTCAAGAAACAACCTTGACACCTTGCTAGGATTCCAGATTATCTTTGGGTTGCTGAGGATGGAATGAAAATGCAGAGTTTTGGAAGCCAGCAGTGGGATACTGGATTTGCAATTCAGGCACTGATTGCTACTAATTTTACACAAGAAATTGGAGACGTGTTAAAGAGAGGCCATAAATTCATAAAGGAATCTCAAGTGAAGGCCAATCCTTCAGGCGACTTCAAGAGCATGCACAGGCATATTTCAAAGGGATCATGGACTTTCTCTGACCAAGATCACGGATGGCAAGTTTCTGATTGCACTGCCGAAGGACTTAAGTGTTGCCTTCTTTTCTCAATGATGCCCTTCTTTTCTCAATGATGCCACCAGAGACTGTTGGGTGACAAAGTAGAGTCTCACAGTTGTACGATGCTGTCAATATAGTTCTTCTCTGCAGGTTCCCGTCAATCTATTCCTACTTCTATTTGATATATATATATATATACTATATATATATATATATATATTATGATGCTATATATTTATTTTTGAGGCAAAAAATTCATTAATTCATTGATGCAGAGTAAAAATGGAGGCTTAGCTGCATGGGAGCCTGCTGGGGCTCAAGAATGGTTAGAAGTGAGTGACTTTTTATTCCTTTCTTTTTATTTTTTTAGCGTTTTAATTCAATGAGCAATTTTGTCCTGGATGACTGCAAATTTTCAGATACTAAATCCTACAGAATTTTTCGCTGACATTGTGATTGAGCATGAATATGTGGAGTGCACTTCAACCGCAATCCACGCTTTAATTTTTTTCAAGAAATTACACCCAGGACATCGAAAGACATCGAAAGAAAGAGATTGAGAATTTCATCGTGAATGCTGTAAGATACTTGGAAAATGTACAAACCAGGGAGGGTGGATGGTATGGGAAATGGGGAGTTTGCTTCACTTATGGAACATGGTTTGCACTGGGAGGCCTTGCCGCTTCTGGCAAGACCTACAACAATTCTGCTGTTGTCCGAAAAGGTGTTGATTTTCTCCTCAGAATTCAAAAAGAAGACGGAGGCTGGGGAGAAAGCTACCTTTCATGCCCTACAATCATATGATTTTAATTAATTTGGTTTCAAAAGTCAAGACAAACAAGTGGCTAAAAGTAAGTTGCTGTGCAGAAATATGTAGCTCTAGAAGGAAAGCGATCAAATTTGGTACATACAGCTTGGGCAATGATGGGTCTAATCAGCGCAGGACAGGTGAGTGGTCTGAAATGACTATATATGTATGTGGGTCTATCAGCGCAGGACAGTGTGATTGTGTCTGAAATGACTACTATATGTACAATTACAGCCTTGTTTATTGTATGTCGTGTTAATTGTGATGGATATAATCATTAATGAAGCGATGGATAGAAGACCCTACACCTCTTTCACCGAGCTGCAACGCTGATAATTAATTCCCAATTGGAAGGATGGAGATTTTCCTTCAACAGGTATATATCTAATAGGGAGGACACTTTTAAAACCAGTTTGTTATTTGATTTCTGTATGTTGTTGATTCTATTTCCTGGCAACATGAAAATGGATCAGGGGTTTGTTCTTGAAGAACTGCATGTTACACTATGCAGGCATACGGAACATCTATCCAATTGTGGCTCTAGGCAGAATTACAGAACCGAATCCATTAAGCCATTCAACACCCAAATCTAATTAGAATCATTCCTTCACTCTCAACAATCATTAGATACTTAATGTAATGATGTACTGAATTAATTTCTTGTATATTCACAGATAATACTATTAATATAGACTACACTACTAATTTATAAATTCCTAGCATACCTTAAAATGAAAAACCACTAATAAATTTAACTGTGCAAAGATGTGAACTAATATTTTGATGTGTACTCTTACTCAGAAACTATTTAATGAAATGGAAAGCATTGATTCCAAACTTGCTTCTTCCCATTTAAAATCCAGGAGTCACAGAGACGACAGGTTGGGGTCGCCGAAGGGAGCGGGGAAGAGCGCGGGAGGGGGAAGGAGAAGGGCGGTGCGGATGGGAGGGGGGCGAGGACAGAAAGGACGGTGGGAGGAGTGCGGGTAGAGGGATGAGAATTTGCGGTGGGTGTGGGCCGGTGAGTGGTGTTCAGGGGATGTACGAGAGAGGGGTGAAGGTGTAGGGAGAGGGTGTGGGGTGGGTGCGAGGAGGTAAGGGGGGGGGGGGAGGGGGGGGGGGGGGGGGGGGGGGGGCGGGAGCCAGGTGGCGAGGAAGGCGCCAGAAGCCGGTTAAGAAGACGAGGGTATTGTGGGCGGGGTGGAGGGGTGTGGGGAGAGAGGGGGGGGGGAGGAGGGGATGGATGGTGAGGAGAGAGAGAAGAAATGCGGAGATATTAGGAAGTGTCACTTTTCTCATCACCTGCATCCGAAAGTTAGGTGGGTATACATGCGCTCTTTATGAGGACTGCATGGAAAGTTCAAATAAAAATAAAAAAAATTAACATAACGTAGGGAAAGACAAGAAAGAAAGAAAAGATGAACCTCTTTTAAAAAAAAAAATATATATCAATAGTTTTAAATTATAAAAATTCAGTCTGCTGCTCAAAAAATTTGATATGGACATGCAAGCTGCAAATTAAGGATTTAGAAAGAAGAAAGGTAGAATTGACTTGCAACTGAGATTTAGAGTCGAACCTCATAGAAGAATTTTACCATTATGCCAATTTTTTGTACCCAAATAACAAATAACTTAATATCTTAGTAAACTTTTTCCTTTTATTTACAAGTAACATAATTTTCCTATAATACAAATTTTTTCTTTTTTATTACGTGTTAAAGTAGGAAGGAATATATGGAATATATTGATTTATATACAGGATATCTACCAAAACTAATATATGGAAACGGACCCCTAGTTAGACAATAATACGATTGGAGTTGGAAATCCAACCAAAAATTCATTAGAAGAAAAGTCTTACTTGCTTTCTTATAGGTTAAAAAAAACACATAATAATGAATTACAAAATACAGGTTCTTCTTTGGCTATAAAATTGGATGGTGAGCTTTTGTTTATGATCTTGGCGGTGCAGAGCTCTCTCGCTAGCTCTAACTACTTCTTTCTGAATAAACTCATTTTTACCGTTATAATATGTTGTTTCATAGCTTGCTTCTGGGAAGGTATGAGACCAGAGCAAGAGATATGATTTGATCCACTTGTTCCGAAAGGCTTAATTCTCATATATTGTTGCTATATAGGAAGAAACCATCTGCTAGAAACAAGGATACCTTGAAGATAATTATAATATGAAGTACAGTGTTCCTGCACAATCATATAATTAATTAATAAGAATCGTTACGTGTATTTGGAGAAAGGAAAGAAAAAAAGGAAAGATAGAGAAGAATGTGGAGGCTCTCAAGATAGCAGAAGGTGGCAACGAAAGCCATACTATTTAAGTACAGCTATAAACTAACAACTTACGTAGGAAGGCCCAAATATGGGAGTTTCGATCCTTGATCAGGGAAACTACATTGAGAAGAGCGATTGCTGCCGGAATAGGTGAAATCTGGAATACCACAGTTCGTCAAAAATTTCTACCAAACAAACCCGGCATTCAGGGTCAAGCCCAGCAGTGACCTTTCTCTGAGCGTATGCAGGTGGTTTTTTCTTTACTTGTTGTTGATTCTTTTAATAGCGATCACACATAACTATATGGCATGTAATATTTGCTTGTTTTGCCTTTGGAGAAGAGACCCATTTGATCTTATTTATTAAATAATCCGGTCATTGGACGAGTAAGATCCACAAGATTAGTGGCCATATTGACAACATTTGTTCGTATGTTGGTGATAATGGAGAATTGGACACCTATAAAACATAATAAAAGTATTATAATTTAATTTAATAAAATTTTATTTTTAACAACAAAATGGTCTAATTTATTTTGATTGAATTAACTCTATGTCAATTATATATTGTCGTTATTACTGTAATTTTATAATTTATTAGAATTATAAAGATTGCCCACACTGCAACAGTTGAGGTTTTTAAAAAAAAGCTCTTATCCATGGAATCAAATGAGTTATCACTATTTTATTTTGTTATATAGGAAATTGAACTATAAATCAGATTAAGGATATTAGTAAGGAATATCATCCAATTTTCCGAGCGGCTATTTTAGGACGTTAAAATTATATAAAAGTAGCCCTAATTACATAAAATGTCCATAATGGTTTCGTGATATGTATAAGGTACACAGATATTGATTTTTTTTTTTTTTTTTTTATTTTCGTGAATAATGAAATTAAAATAATGAATCTATAATACGGAACTTTCTAATTTTTTACAAGTTTTAATTAAGTCGTCTTGCGCATCTGGCAAGGCAATAAACATAGACAGAAAATTGATAAAAAAAATAGTTCTCTTTAGGACGATATGGAGTTGAAATGAGTAGAAAAGTCCTACAAAAAACGAAAGAAAAACGAAAAAGGAACTGGTTTGGGGCCACTATCGTAGTTGTTGGGAGCCAACCGACGCAAGTCGGATTCATAGAAAATTAAATTTTAACATTTCCCAAATTCAGCGGTTTTACCACTGCTCTCTCTACTCAATTCAAATTGCCAAAACAAAACTTCTGCACGCCTGACTTTTTCATTGGGCCCACTCTTTTATTCTACTACAGAAATTTTTTTTTTTTTTTCAAAAATTAAGCTAATAATCCTCCGCCAAAATTATTATGTAGAGAGATTTGAAGATTTTTTTATATTCATATACAACAAGTGTTTATTCACACGATTAAAAAGGAACCTTAACATTTAAAGCATGTGAATTCATTTTTGAGAAATAAAAATTAACTTACATTTATTCATATATTATTTTTTCAATTCAAAAAAAAATTTACTCATCAATTTATTAAAAAAAGTAAGAAGAATAAAATTATAAAAAAATAAATTAAAAGTTCAATACCCATATCCAATTTTTTTACATGTATTAGAATTAAATATTTAAATATTATTTTTTACATCTAATAAAAATTCCATTAAACCTTTAATAGTTAAAAACAATCAAAGTTAAGATCATAATTTCATTACTTTAAAATAAATTTATTTAACAATTTAACAATAAAACTAATTTTTGCTTTCTTCTGTTTTTTATTTTAAAGCCAAATTACATTGGATTTATAAAAAGTTGGTATTAATTCTTAAAATTTCAATTAACTTTTAAATATACTTTTAATATATATATATATATATTTATATATATATATATTATATATATATAATATATATATATATATTCTATTTTATTTAATCTACATATTTTAACAAAAGTTACTAAACCATGAAATATTTCTTTTTGATCCTTTATATTTAATTTTAAATCCAATTTTTTAATCACCTATTCTTCATAAGTTAAATTGTTATTCCCTTTACATATTTTCATTGAGTAGGATTAATATAATTTCTAAAGTTTTTTGACGATTTAATTTTTAATATTTCCAATTACAAATCGCAATATTATATATATATATATATATATATATATATTGAATGAACAATAAATCTAAACTTATACGGTGTGCCTTTTAAAGTAAAAAGAAATTATTAAAAAAAAATATAACACGACAAAGAGCTAAGATAATAAAAGGACCTATTTAATAGGTAATTAGCATTATAGTAAATGAGATAATCAAGTATCACTCAAACGAGTTCTGATCAATACAAAAATTTAGTAATTCTATAGGCTGTATAAAAGCCAACTACATCTCCTATTACTGTTTCTAATTTATTGATCTGCAAATTGGTTCTGGGTACCAGTTTCTTCAAGGAGAAAGAACTTTAAGCAAACAATTACCCGCCAGTAGAAAAAGAAAGGTGCGAACAGATCTCACAATACAAGATCAAAAGGCAAACAAGCAGCTTTGAGAAGGGCAGTCCCAGTCATTTTCAGTGCACATTGACAGGCCTAAGTGATGTGTCATTGGACCTTGCTTGAAAATGAACTGAAGGCCCTTGTTCATTCCAATCCCTTAACCAAGCTGGTTATGTGCGTTTACATAACGGAGAACATTTGGACACCGGTCTTCCCACCGGAGCATCGCAAGGGGATAATCCTCGTCTAACCATATACTACCAATCATTTGAATTCCAAGTGACTGGTGGGTGGGGCCTGCACTTGAAGGCACAGCACCATGAATTCTGGCACTTGTTCTCAGTTACATCTGTATGCGTATCTTAGGAGTTGGACCTTGATGGCGGTCCAGGATAATGCCTGGCCAGAA